GATGTAAGATGGTCGTAAAGCTATCCACTTGAAGCTTTTAGACTGATTCATGCGGTGTATGCCTTTGCCAGCCGTTCCTCCTTCACGTTGCCGCGTCAGTGCAAAAAAATTTTGAGCGTGGCATTGAAAGGGCCTAAAGCTGCAAATGAGTGGAAAAGACAACGGTGGCGATAATTTTAGCCATGACAATATACTGTGCATGGTATGGTTCTGTAATGAAGACGTTGCCAATAGGCATGATCACCACCAACACATTTTCAACCCAGTGCACAGAAAGCGTATTTGTGTCTTGACCATTTTTCCGTCTAAGCACGAGGTCATTTTTCATGCTTCTTACTTTACCCACGGCGTCATGCTGCATTCAACACTACAACGTTACATGAATATTTTGCTGCGCATTGTTGGCAAAATATATGAAGATTGGAGCTTATTTTTAAAGATTAACTGATGTATGTAAAGCACCCTGTATCTCTGTATGAAAGGCATGTGTTCAATTATTATGGTGTTCACAGAACACACTACTGAGTACAAAAGAAGAAAAAGAGCTATTTGACCATTCATACATATCTTGGATATTTATTACCTTGGCCTTATCTGTGGCCAAACATGACAACATTATATCGTAGCAAGCACGTTTACCCGACCGAAATTTTGGAGAGCAGCTTAAAACCTCCGTGGCCCGTTATCTTATAAGTGGTACGTCTGAACAAGGGCCTATTCGTTATGTATGCCAGTCTATAGGAACGTCTGAAAGTTTTGGGCTAAACGTTCTTTTAAGCTTCTGTCAACGCATGCCGTCATGAGCAGTGTTAATGCCAAGTTTTATGAATATCACGGGCATCATGGCCCTTTCTTTCTACCCCTGCTCTTATGTTTACGCCCAGGCATACTCCTCCCACTCCTCTGTTCCCCTCCCCGGAGGAAGAGGTGTTTTCGATTCCGGGAATCGGCTAGCGGTTCACAGAGCCCCCTCACGTTACATTTTAGCTCAGCAGAATGGAACGCCAGCAAGCAGACAAAGCCTCGGTGGGAGGCAAAGGAGAGCAAGCCTGTCTGTGTATGTCCGATATCCGGAACCACACGCAAAGCTGCTTTATAATTCCGGTTAGCAGGCTCTGCTTGCATGTCGGCGAAGTCTGCGAAGTCAACTCGTCCGGTTCGGGTTTTGCACAGCGCTGCTCTAAATACCGTGCGCCACCGAATTCTGGACGGTGGAATCGTTGAGGAGGGGGGCTTAGGAAACAGTTGTTCTCCCTGTGTTCTGGAAAATACTTAAGCCCTAACCTTATGGTGTTCCATGAAAAAGGGATGAGCATCGCGTTTGCCCCTCCCAAAACTCTAAAGGCGATCCACTAGTACTGCTTCTCCTTCAGCATATTCACTTGTCTCGGGGTCACAGTTAGCGCCGTTGAAGGCGAAGTCAAACTCAGTTATTCCTCCAATACCCCGCTCTGTTTAAACCTGCCGCGCTGCGCCGCTACGCCGTTGCCAGCGCCCGGCTGCCATGCCAGAGAGTGTACCTGCGCCTTGGAGGCCGTACTGGCCAAAATTGGGTTAATGTCTCATTTGGCTTGACTAGGAGCCGGCCGGTAGTGTAGTCTGGTGCGCTGAGGGGAGCGTGTGTCTGGTGTGTGAAGTGTGGCTATATTGACACATACTCTATATATCTGGATACATTCGGATATACCAGGTAAGTCTGAACAGCGTGCAGTATGGAGTGTCTCCCAGTCTCCTTGCAGCCACTGTACGACGGAAGGCCAGCGTGTGCAGTGGACAAGTAGTCATGCAAGCGTTCTGTC